TTGTTCTGGTTTGGTCTGTCGCAGCCCTGTGGGCTGGTTCCTGTGGACTTTTAAAAAAAAATAATTTATTGCAGTGAAAGTTACATAACATCAGCTTAACCGTTTATTTAAAGTGCACAACTCAGTGGCATTTAGCACATTCACAGTGTTGTGCAACCACCAGCTTTGTCTAATTCCCAAACATTTATATTTTCATTTCCTCCAGAGAAAACCCCTTACCCCTTCAGCAGTTTCTCCCCACTCTTGCCTCCCCCCAAGTCCCCTGGCAACCACTGGGCTACTTCTGTCTCTGTTCTGGCTGTTTCATAGAAATAGAATCCCACCTCAACATCTGACCATTGTGTCTGGCTTTGTTCACTTTGTGTAATGTTTTCAAGGTTTATCCACATGCAATAGCTGTCGATACTTCATTCCTTTTTATGGGTGAGTAATATTCTCCTTCCTGTTCTGTAAGTAAAATGATGAACTGCTATGTCTCAGGTCTATCGTGGACTCATTGTTTTTCACCTTTGGGAGCCTCCAGCTGTGAGGCTGACAAGCCACAGCCCCTGTGTTTGTCAGCTGTTCAGGGTGGAGATGGTGACAGGGCAGAGTGGGAGCCAGAAGCTGCACAGTGCAGCCCCCCAGGAGGTGGGACCCTCAGTCACATGGCCACATGGCCACCACAGACAGACAGACGGCCTTACGCAGTTACAGGTGTCCCTCCTGCCTCCCTGGCATTAGTGTGGTTGGGACGTTGAAAATAGATTTACGTCGAGATTGATAAACTCAATTAATGTTTTTTTCCTTCAGATTTTATCTCAGGACTGGAGATGTTCAGACATGCTCCCTTGAACAACCTTTGTCATCCGTGTCTCCATCACAGTGTGACGAAATGGGAGAAGGGTGAATTAGGTTATGTGGGCAGGTGGCTTAAAGAAACCAACAGAACCTTGTGTGGTTTTGGAAATAAGCTCTTCTTCGAGCTCATTAGGAACGTATGGTGCCAGGGACCTGGATCTCGTTACTTAGAGCCCTGGGGAAGGAGTTCGTGCTGGGGCGACCACCTGACCTTGGTAGAGGGTAGCGTCTACACAGATGGGTGGGAGAGACCACAGGCCTGTGGGGCGTCCTGTGGGGGCCAAGGGGGGCCTCCTGAGCCGCCTGGCAAGGGGAGAAGCTGCGGTGAGAGCCAGTGAGAGAAAACGGAAGACAACAACTCAGGGGGTGTGCTTGGGGTGAGTCAGATTGTGGCGGGGTGGGAGGCGTCAGAGGGGAGGTGCCAGGATGCACCAGGACCTGGAGGCGGAGGAGCGTGGGCAGCACAGGGCCCCTGCTCAGATCTAAAAGATTAAACTCCAGGAAACAGGCCAGGGAAAGGGACAGGGCTCCTCGAAGTGAAACGCAGACCTCCCAGAGGTTTGGGAAGAAGCCGGTACACCCGAGGACGGTGGACCTCAGGGTGATGGGCTCCCGAGCAGGAGAGCCGAGGGACGCAGGGCAGGAGGGTGGCAGACCTCGGACTGATTCCCGAGGAAGCAACTGGAAAACAACTAAAACAGACCGAAGGAAGCCCTGGGTGGGCAGAAGTGGTCCCGGCACTGGTACTTCCCTTAGGTCCTCACCCTGTCTCTCGGGCTTGAGTGGCCCTGCCGCTTGCCCGTGCATCTTTGTGTCTGAGGTGGCAGCACAGTCGTGGAGCTCCAGGTCCGTGTGACAGATGGCAGGAAGCCGTGTGCGCTGTGGTTACCCTTTCTCAGAGATCTGTTATGTCTGTAACGTGTGTTCCTGCAGAACTGCTATCCCAGTGAGATCGTAGCGGTCGGGGCCGGGGAGGGGCTTGTTCTCTGATTCCCTGTTCGTAAGCGTAACTTCAAGGTTTCCAGAGCCATCCTGGTTAGGGGTACCGCGTCTTCAGGACGGGGTTCTGCTCTGCTCCGTAACACAAGCTCTGTGCACTCCTGTCGGATCAGGGTGTTGTTGGCTCATTTGTTGTGAGTATCTGCACAGTGGCCGTGGGGCCTCTCAGCTGTGTTCTTACGCATGAGCTTAGGTTTAAGCCCCAGCAGCATAATTAGTATCTGGCAAGTTTGGTTTCTTGTTTCCTGTTTGTCAAGGCTCGCTGGAGGATTTGGGGTCAGTTTTGTTAGTGGAGAAATAAATGTGCCTCCAACACCGACTCTTCTGTGTTGCGTTCAACATTCTGAACCTCAAGTGAGGAGTGATTGATCAGATGAGCATCTTGCCCTCAAAACTGAAAAAACTAGAATAAATAAAAAAAAAATCACTTTTTTTTTAAAAAAAGGGCAGATTGTTCACCCATAAAAAGGAATGAAATAATGCCATTTGCAGCAACATGGATGGATCTAGAGATTATTATATCAAGTGAAGTAAGTCAGAGAAAGACAAATATATCATATGCTATCACTTATATAGTGGAATCTAAAAAGAAAAAGATAGAAATTCTATTTACAAACCAAAAACAGACTTAACGAACGTGGGAAACAAACTATGGCTACCAAAGCGGAAAGAGCGGGGAAGAATGAAATAGGAGTTGGGGGTTAACAGACACACATTATTATATATAAAATAGATAAACAACAAGGACCTGCTGCATAGCACAGGGAACTACATTCAATTTCTTATAATAACATAATGGAAAAGAATATGAAAAGAAAGAAATATATGTATAACTAAATCACTTTGCTGTACACCTGCAGCTAACATTGTAAATCAACTACACGTCAATAAAAAATTAAAGGGAAAAAAATAATGAAGTACTGATACAACGTGGATGAACCCTGAAAACATGGTGCTGAAGGAAAGTAGCGAGATACAAAAGGTCACATATTGTATGATTCCATTTACGTGAAGTGTCCACAATACACAAATCCATAGAGACAGAAAACTGATCAGTGGTTGCCAGCACCTGGGATGGGGAGGAAACATGGGGAGTAACTGCCTGTGAGTACACGGTTTCCCTGCAGGGTGATGACAATGCCCTGAAACTACACGGTGATGATCGTTGCCTAACATCAGGAAGGTACTTAGTGCCTCTGAATTGTGTACTTTAAAACGGTTAAATTTTACGTTACTGAAAATAAAAACATACAAATAATGAGTTCAAGTTCACAGCCGTTTGCTTTCTCTTCTTGTAGGTATTTTGTGAATGAACCATTTGCCGACTTTCACCGCGTGGAGGGGTTGCAGGGGGTGTACATTGCTACTCTGATTAACGGCTCCATGAGCGAGGAGAACATGAGATCCGTCATCACCTTTGACAAAGGGGGAACCTGGGAATTCCTTCAGGCCCCAGCCTTCACGGGATACGGAGAGAAAATCAACTGTGAGGTACAGAGGCTTTACTCTTGTTTGGATTTTTAATAGAAGCTCTTAGCTGTAGGTCTCCCCTTACAGTTCCCAAACTCTGCACCGAGACACCCTGGGGTACGGTAGTGAACTCACGGGGCGCCATGGGGTATTTTAAGTTTTCGAAGGAAATAGCGCAGTACTTGACGTCTGTTGGTCACCATGTGAATTACCGCTGTCTTGAGTTAGTTTCACAGTTTGCGCATTAGCTCATGCTGTCTGTCTTTTGATGACATGTCTTTGTGAAGCTGCGTTCTTGGCAGTTGATGTGATAAAGAGCAAGTGAAAAAAATCAGAGTGGGGCAGGAAATGACGGTGGGTGGTATCTGATGAGATCCCAAAAAGCCGTGCAGCGCCCGACAGGTGTCCACATCCTCTTACTAAGTGATGAGTGACTGTGGTTATTTATGAAGGAGATAAAAATTGTATGTTTTCTTTCCATTTATATACACATACACAAATACATGTACACACTATTATTTTGATCTGTGACTAAGTTTCTAAGTTTTCAGGACATATATTTACTAAGTTGTTTGGACTTAACTATGTTAAAAAAAATTAGTATTTCTTCTGGCCTGAGGCTGCTATTAAAAAAAAAAATTACCGAGACACTAATTGTGCCGTGAACCAAGACAGTTGAGAAACCCTCGCCGTAAGTAATTATTTCTGCAGAACATCTTTTAAAGTTCTTCCCTGTATATAAGTTAGGATTCTACAGTTTTCCCTCTCTGTGACTTCATCAGAAGAGCTCACGATACTAAAATGTGCTGTTTGGCCCCATTAAGAATTCCCATTCTCCCAAGCAGCTCCTTCCATTTCCCTCGGGAGATATGTGGCTTGTGGTCCCTGCTTTATGTAACACCCCTCACCTCCACTCTCATTTCTCTAGGGGACCTAGGGTGTGTCAAGTAGGTGGGCAGAAGGAACTTGGTTGGGAGAAAAAAGCAGTAGTTCTCATTTTTGGAGAAGCCATAACATTTTTATTAGACAATTACCTGATCTCTTGGATTTTTGAATTTTGTTTGTCTACGGTGGTGAAATATATTGACTCTCCCACATGCTGTATCTGTGGCCCTTGGGAAAATTATTTTGGAGACTCTTGATCTTGGATGCCCTTCTTGACTTTTCTTCCCTGTTGGGCAGCAGGTCTGGGCTTACCGCACCACGTCTAGCTTGGGAGAGAGGCAGGGTGCAGGTAGCTACAGGCGAACACCAAGATGCCATTCCTTCACTGCAGGACGTGGGTGGGGGTCTAAACCTTGGTTAAATAAAATGAGTGGGATTGTTTAAACTGAGCTCCTTGTACCCCTGACTGATCAGTTTATTTATGAACTGGACAACAGTTAGTCATCAGCTTTTAGTTTCTAATTCTGATTTTAGGTGGTGACAGAAAAGGTGAGTTGGCAGATATTTCTTGGAGAAACAACCGAATTTACTCCAGTTTTCATTTGCTAAACTTTGCTGGTAGCAAGATGGATATTTGTTAGGGAGATCCTTGTGTTAAAAAAATAAGTATATCTAGCAGAGTGTCAGTTTTTACCTATAACATAAGCACAAATAGGGGTAGCCTGTCTAGAACACTGGACGAGGCTAAAGAACATTTGACAGTCCCTTTCTGGCCAGGAGAATCGGGCATGACCCTAGAGCAAAAGGGTTGTTTGCAGAACTATTAAAATCTGAACCTAAGTGATGGAGGCCAGTTGGAATAACTTGAGGTCCTTGCCAAGGACACCAGTAGACTTTTTGTACAAATGCGGACTACTTCAAAATTTTTAATGTGGATCTTTCGGTGTTTATGTATCTCCTAGGTTGTACATGTGGGAGGTTATCAGTGAGGCTTTCTGACTTCTGAGTCTTAGTTTTTCCTCTGACGGAATTGCTTAAATCCTATTTGAAATACATCTCCACTGACTTAGAAAATAAGTAATATGAAATCATTTTGTTTGTCTCGTGTTGTGATTCCCACGAGAAAGAACCTGTAGGTAACCTGGGGAGAAAGAGTGGTAACTCTGTCTTCTAGCTTTGGCATGGATCTTTCCTTCCTTCCTCCTTCCTTCCTTTCTTTCTTTGTTTCCTTCTTTCCTTCTTTCTCTCTTTCTTTCTTCTTCTTTCCTTTTCTTTTTTTATTTTGCATTTTAAATATATATCTATTGAAGTACAGTCGATTCACAATGTTGTGTCCGTTTCTGGTGTACAGCACGATACTTCAGTCATGTGGGAACATACGTGCATTCATTTTCATAGTCTTCTCCATCATAGGTTAACCAGGCATGATTTCTGATTGCTGTTCTCCGAGAGCCTCAGAAGGAATTTTTACGAGGATTTTTCTCTTTTTCCCAATGAGAGGCATTTTCCTGGTTCCGACGGTCACATCCGCCTGGGGAGGGTGGGATGTGGGGACAGTGGGCTGTGGCTCTCTTTTTCTTTGGGCCGGTCTTCTTCCTCTGGACCACCCGCAGCACTGGTGCGACAGGGCGCCGTGTTCGGAGGGAGGTGGAGATGGCGTGTCCTGTGCTGACGGTGCCTGGAACTTGTGTCCCTGCAGCTCTCTCAGGGCTGCTCCCTCCACCTGGCCCAGCGGCTCAGCCAGCTGCTCAGCCTCCAGCTGCGGCGGATGCCCATCCTGTCCAAGGAGTCGGCGCCCGGTCTCATCATCGCCACGGGTAAGCCGGCCTTGCCAGGGCTCCCCGCCGGGTGGACCGCGGGCACCTGCGGCAGTCAGCGCTGTCTGCGGTTTGCTGGGCGACTTGGAATTCCTGCGTTCGCTGACATATTCGTGAAATGAAAAATAATCACTCTTCTTGCACTTTAGGTTCGGTGGGAAAGAACTTGGCAAGCAAGACGAACGTGTACGTCTCTAGCAGTGCAGGAGCCCGATGGCGAGAGGTCAGCCCCTCCTGCCCTCCCCTGTTCCTGGCTGTGTGAGGACCTGGCTGGTGCCTCCATGTGTCAGGGACCCACGTGGCCAGTGGTGGAGGGCAGCGATGCCCATCGTGATGATAAACTAAAGAGGGTACCCAGAAGCCCCGCAGCTGCACCCATTCATATTCCCACCCTGTAACATGGGCTCTTGATTTTGCCAAAAATGTTTTTTTGAATCAAAAACAGCCTTTTTTTTTTTCTTCAACAACTGTGAATTTGGGTAAATATTCCGAGATTGTTAAGTTCCATGAGGATGAGGCAGTGTCTGATCCATCCCTTCTTTACTCCTGGGAGCTGGCAGGGACATCTGGGGCTCAGGAAGGCTTCGCAGACTCTGTTGGCAAACTATAATGTGGTTGTCATGGCGTCAGGTCTGAACCTGGTTCCGCCCTTCCTTTTGCATATGAGCCAGGTTGAAGTCAAGCCTCTCCTCCCTGGGCCGAGCTGTGCAGGAACTTCCCCTCATTCTGTGCTGTGGAGGAGGGCCGTTTCTGCCTTAAGGTTCTGTAACTAACTTAAAGGCTCCTTAGGACCTGGTGATACCGGTTCTGAAGGTGGAGCTCATTCTCTTGTCCTGAAATGCTAACTCAGCCTTGGACATTTGAGAACTCCCAAACTTGCTTTTAAAAAAAAGGGTACTTTTCCACCAGCCTCCCATGACTTGCACACATCTGCTCTCATTCTGTGGGGGCTGCTTTCAATGATGGTTTGCTGGGTGTTCAGGGAGCCACCAGGGTAGAACTCAGAGGTCTCCCACAGGCCGTGTGTGGTGCCTGGAGGGCTGTGGGGCTCTCACAAGAGCCGGCAGGTCGCTCCCAGCCTCGCGGGGCTCTTACTGGAAATGCAGCATGTACACTTTCACATCGAAATACGCAGCGTGTGAAGCGATAATAATACACGACATTTGTCTGGCTCTGGGCAGTCGGCAGAGACCTGTCATGTGCCTCACCCCACTTGAGGTGGCATTCCTCCCGCTGACAGATCCGGGACCCAGGTGTGTGTGTGTGTAAATTCAGGCCGATACAGTACGGTAGAGAATATAATTATGTATTCAGGTGAAGGAGCTTGTTAAGGCCGGGGCAGTCAAAAAGCGTGAACAGGTTGGAATTTGGGGACATCTGTGTCCCCGCTCCTATGGGAAAGGTTGGGCGGCGGCTTTCCTCTTCCCTGGAGCCAGACATTCCTTGTGAAATTGGGTGTTCTCGCCTCTGCGGGTAGGCCTGTGGTTGGTTTGTGCCCTCTGATGTTGGTGGAATCTGGGGTTTGAACATCTGCAAGCAATTTCCTTCTGGGGAGAAAGCAGGGTCTTGTTCCTCCTCCAGTGAAGTGGTGTCGTCTGGCTGGTGCTGGGGCAGCTGTCCGGGCTTCCCGCCGGGCAAGCAGCCACTGCACAAGGGACCTTGTTTTTGGAAATAGCAGGGAGCTAATGAGGGGATGAAAAGGTTGAGCTTGTCTATGGGAGCGGGCATCTGAGGTCCCGCGGGCAGCCTTCTCTTTAGAGGGAAAGTCTCGGCGGTGTGAGACGGGTAGGTGGTGGCCGGGGGCAAGGAAATGGGATGCAGGCCACGGCTGCTGCCTGGAAAACTGATCACTGTCTTCTTGTCCCCTTTTACTAATGAGTTGTGCCAATTCTCTGATCCTGAGTCCTTTCCTCGTACATTTTGTTTTAAACTACTTTATTGAGGCACATGGACACACAGTAAATGGCACGCATTTAAAGTGTTTAATTTGATCGGAATTGATCAGCATGACTATGCCTTTGACCGACACCACAATTAAGGCAACAAACAGTCCCATCACCCCCCGAGGTGTCTCTGTGCCCCTTTGTAATCCATCTCTCTCTCTCCACCCGCATCCCTGCCAGAGTGTTAGTTAGCACTTGCTGGGATTCTGTGTACAGGGGCTCATCCAGCACGCCGTCTTCTGGCCTGCTTTCTGTCACTCACCATGAGGATTTTTGGGGTCCATTCGCTTTGCTCCATGCACCAGTGATTCTTTCCTTTTTTTATTATTGATTAGTATCCCCTTGTGGGGACAGTCCACCGTTTCTTTATCCATTCACCTGTTAATAAACACTCTAGTTTTTGCTGATGACAAATACAGTTGTTACAAACATTTACTTACGTAAATGTTTAGGTGGACATGCATTTTTTTTTTTAAGTCTCTTGAGTAGATTCTGCAGAAAGGAATGACTGGGCTACTTGGCGGGCGTTTGTCCGGCTCTTAAAGGAACTACCAAATTGTTTTAAAATATCAGGTTGTTTTCCAAAGTGGATGTAATATTTTGCATTTTCACCAGCAGGGTGTGAGAGCTCACTTCAGGTGTGTGCCAGCACTTGGTATGGTCAATCTTTTTAATTTCAGACATGTTAGTTAAGTGGGTAATGATATCTCTTTGTGATTTTTTAAAAATTACAAAAAAAATTTTTTTAATAATGGAAGTACTGGGGATTGAACCCAGGACCTTGTGAATGCTGAGCATACCCTCTACCACTGAGTGTACCCTCCCCACTCATTTTGGTTTTAATTGGCTTTTTTTTTTTTGATGGCTAGTGATGTTGAGCTCATTGGCCATTTAAGAGTCTTCTTTTGTGAAGTGTCTGCTCAGATCTTTTACCAGTTTTTAAAGGATTGGGTTATTTGTCATCTTACTGAGCTGTAAGAGGTTTGTTTTTTTTTTTTAAAAAGTATATTCTGAATTTAAATCTTTTATATGATACATACAAATTATAAGTATTTTCTCCTAAGTCTGTAGCTGGCTTTTTGTTTGTTTTCTTAATGGTGTCTTTTGAAGAGCAAATGTTTTAAATTTTAATGAAGTCTAATTCATCAGCTTTTTCTTCTTTGTTTTATGCCCTTTCTTGTTCTAAGAAAGGTCTGTCCTTCCCAAGATCGCAAAGGTTGTCCATATTGTATTCTTTTACAGGTTCTGTAGTTTTGGGGTTTAGGTTTATGATCCATTTTGAGTTAATCTGTACATCTGGTGTGTGGGATGGGTTGTTACTCATTTTTCTGCACAGAGATTGAGTTGGTTCCTCACACTTGTTGAAAAGACTTCTCTTCTCCCCATTGAACTGCCTTGGTACCTGGCTGAAAATCAAATGGCCACGTGTATGTGGGTCTATTTCAAGACTTTCTATTCTACTCCATTGATCTGTATGTCTGTCTTTTCACCAAAACCAAATTGTCTTGATTATTGAAGACTTATAATAAGGGTTGAGATCAAGTAGGGTAAGTCTTCCAATTTTGTTCTTTTTTTGGTATGTGTGTATATATATATATATATATA